TTAGCGAAATAAGTTAATTGGAGAAAGACAACTATCATATGATCTCCTGATATGAGGGAGAGGAGATGCAACATGGGGGGGTTAAGGGGGTAGGAGAAGAGTAAATGAAACAAGATGGGATTGGGAGGGAGACAAACCATAAGTGACTCTTAATCTCACAAAACAAACTGAGGGTTGATGGTGGGAGGGGGATTGGGAGAGGGCGGTGGGGTTATGGACGTTGGGGAGGGTATGTGCTATGGTGAATGATGTGAAGTGTGTAAACCTGGTGATTCACAGACCTGTACCCCTGGGGATAAAAATATATTATATGTTTATAAAAATAAAATAAAATAAAATGCAAAAAACAAAAAAAAGAAAAAAAGAGAATGTCTGTAATTGTCATTGAGGGAAAAGATTCATAAAGTGTAAGTGACTTCCTGCATTTTGTGAATGTACATATAGTTTTCTTCTATGATAGCCAACATTTCTATTCACAGATGTAAGAAGTAAGAACAAGTAATTCTAGAAAGTCTTGTTGGGGAAACTGGTTTATGGAAAGGAAGCCCCAAACTGTGCCAGGAAACACGCGATTAATCTCCACCTGCACCTGCTTCCTTTGTGGAAAGGATATTGTTTGGTCTTGAATGCTGCTGATCACCTAAGTCTCCCCTGGTGACCTGAGAATCCCCTGGTGATCTGTGTGCCTCTTTAGCCGAGGCGCTGGTGTGTCCCTGCAGGGAGGTTTGTCTGAGTTCATACTGATGTCCCTTTACTGTCTTTCCCCTACAGTAAAAGACACCCATATCCTTGGCTCTCAGGCTGTTTTTCTGCAGATACATGTTCTTGGTTTTGTCTCTGGAAGTAGTGAGCGACCCTTCACAGAATCTGCCTGGCATTTGCTACTTCCATCATAGCTAACACCTGAGAACCACTGCAGCCCCTTCCCTGGATCCTGGTGGACCAGCTCATGGCATGGAGACTGAAGGTGAATCCAGGTGCTGCACAAGAGTCTCAGGGACCCCCAGGCTTCACCAGGTCTCACTCAGACTCCACCAGCTGCACCTCACACTGGACACCTGCAGACACATGACATTCTGGTCAGGAATTTGTCACACATCCACTGTTTCTATCACTCATATTCAGTCACGTACTCAATATCTTCAGTTCTCCATAAATTACCTTTGTTAAAAACCTCATTTTTTAAAGTGTTCCAAGATTCATTGTTTATGCACCACACCCAGTGCTCCATGCAGTATGTCTCCTCCTTAATACCCCCCACCAGTCTCACCCACCCTCTTAACCCCCTCCCCTCCAAAACCCTCAGTTTGTTTCTCAGAGTCCACAGTCCCTCATGGTTCATCTCCCCCTCTGATTTCCTCCCAAATCACTTCCTCTCTCCATCTCCCCATGTCCTCCATAAATTATCTTTTAAAACTGGAAGAAGGAAAACACAAAAGCACTAAGTCCATGCTGAGTTGTCTGTGTTCTTTCCTGATTGCTGAGTGGAACACCTGGGAATGCTGGGGCTGATGCTACTCTCCCAACTGTAGGGTCAGGGCTGGCTTGGTTTAATCAGCATGGGGAGGGTCCTATTTGCATATCCTCTGTGTATTGCCAGATTGGGATATTAGCTGACAGAGAGGGCAGTGATTGTAGCACGTGTGACTGTCTTTGATTTGGTGGTATTGACCACTTCTGAAAAAAAAAATAAATTTTTATTATATATGTTTCCAGAGTATATACCTTGGGTATATCTTCTACTTTGTTTTTTCCATATTTGCAAAAATCTCAGAATGTAGGTGTCATGTACCCCATAAAAGTTGTGAGCCTACACTCAGAATTGGAGAGGTTTTGTGAGGTGTCCATGAACACTTGTAGGGTGAGAGTGATCCCAGGATATGGGACGGTGTTCCTACCCTCAGGACCTGCTGCATCCCTGAATCAGCTGAAGACCAGATTGGGCAGACTCATGAGGAATGTGGAACCGGTCCTGTGATGGGGATGGGATGATTTTGCTTGTTGTAGTGTTTACATGAATTACAGACAGAATCAGATCGTGCAAGTGTTTTTTCAAGTCTTTAACCATCCACTATCTCTGCATTCCTCCTGAGTCATCTCTGTGATTATCTCTCATAGCTTTGGTGCATGTACTTGACACTGGATGAACTGCTCACAGGCAGAGTGTGTGACATGATAAACACAGGTGTTAAAATCAACAGTATCAAGAGTGAGGAAATCAGTTCTCCTGAAAATTTCCTCCACTTTCCCTGGAATTCCTCATTCCTCTTCCCTTCTTCACCCTGTCCCTATATAGTTGTTGTTCTTTCTTGTGTCATCTTAGACTCTAATTTTGTAGAATTCATGAATCGGTCATTGTACTACATGTACTGTCTTTGTACGGCTTCTTTGGCTCAGCATCAATCCTTGTGCACACAGCCATGTTGCTGTGTGTATCAGGAATTGCTGGTTTTGAGACTGGTGTCTCCAAAGTCACAGGCTTGGGAGCACAAGCTGGAGGAAGATCTGAAGTGGCAGAAAGCAGCAGCTTGCTTTGAGGCTCATCCATGCACCTTCTTGTCCCAGGAGCTCTTGGATCCCAGAAAGAGATACAACCCCTTGTTGTTCATGAACCTTTCCCACTGGCTGTGGAGAAGAGCGCCAAGAGACAGCAGGACAGGAGAATGTTGAGGTAGAAGTTCAGAAATTCCATTCACTGGAATAGGCCAGACACCGGAGGAAGAGCAGTATGGAAGGAGCTTGTCAGGCTGCAGAAGGAACCTGTGCACATGAAATCCAAAACACAGGCATCAGGCTGTGGAAGTTATGTCAAGTGGCCAGGCTATGACTGTGCCCATATCGCCCATGTTCTCCACTGGATTCCACTGCTAACCACAGCTGTGAGCTACAGGCACCACCTGGGAATGGCAGCCACTGTTTGCCTCAAACCTGGAGCCTTCTTTCCTGGTCACCAGTGCATGGAGAGGACCCATTTCTGCAGCAACATCTGCTGACACTGCACAGAGCGTACCTAACACCTGTGGACTCTCCTTTTGTTGAGATTTTCCCAACATTGGTGAGGCTCATAAGGAGGATGGACACATGTATGCCTCCTAATGACTTCATGGACTTACTTCCTTTCAGTCATCATGGACCTAGACTGTGCTTTTTAACTCTGACTAGAATGAAAATTCTCTATAGCAACATAGTGCAATTCTGTGGTGTTGCCTCCATAAATCATTCCTCATTTTCCAGAAACTCAGACCTTTTTCTACTTAGGATGGCCTTTTCTCTCTTTTTGTTCTTACTGGTTTTGTACTTGTTTAGTGGAATTTGTCATCACACTGTATCCCTTGACCATTGCTTGCTAGCTCCTTGATCTTCATTCCTCCCACTTCTCCTCATACCCCACACATGGGAAATCCAGCAAGGACCCATGGGATCTCCTTACTTCA